GGTGGGCAGGAGATGAGAGCAGCAGCGGTATCGGGGCAGGGCATGGCCGTCCCTCGGCTCATAGAAACAAGAAGAAAAAGGGGGGAAAAAGAAAACCCAGACGGTTTCTCGCGCCGCAAGCCGCAGCGTTCAGGAGCCCGCATCGACCTGTCAAGGGTTGCTGAGCGGAGACTCGCACGCAGGGCGGTTTTCCCTCCGTTTGCCCTCTCCTCCTGCTGCCACCGGCCCCGGGGCTGCAAACGCTCTGGGAGGGAGCGAAGGGACAGCGTCCGAAGGAAGGTGGCTGATGTCAGCCCTGGGGCTCAGCAGGGATGGCACCGGGGGCCGGGGACCACCGAGCCCCATCCATCGAGGATGGAGAAAACCGGTGGCACGGGTTGGTTCTGGGTCCAGAGATGAGCCTGAACCCGCATCCCATCACCCAGCCCGCTGCTCGGACCGCGACCCCCCAGCCTTGCGGGGGGCCTTGGCCACCCAACGACCTGCCTCACCGAGAAGCTTCGGAGAAGCGCTGGATGCAGGCGAAGAGCCGGGGACGGCGGGCACCAGCAGAGCTCTGCCGGGGAATCAGAAATAACACCCAGAGAGCTGCCGTCAAACCCACGCTCGGCAGCTCGGCTGAAGCGGGTGACTCAGGCACGGGGGAAAAAAGAGATCTCCGTGTTCCCGGCGCGCAGGCACGCTGTTTGTCTGGAGCCGGCGAAGGGATGAGGCAGGGACCATCTGTGAAGGCGTTTCTCACGTTTAAGGAGGGGACAGCATCCTCAGAGGCAGCGGGTCGCTGGGCCGGAAGGCAGGTTGCCGGCACGGCGGCATCCCAAGCGCCAGCAGCCCGGCTTTAGGCTCCCCCCTCGCCGGGGCAGGACGCGCATCCCGTGCTGCAGAGTGGCACTGGGATCTACACCAGGGAGGGGATCTCAGGGCCTGGCGTCCCACCATCACCACCACCGGACCTGCACCCGTCTCAGTCGGTCTTGCACGCCGAGGTGGTTGCCCCCCGGAAATCCCACCCCGAAGCGCTCAGCTGAGACCTGCCAGACTCACTGCATACGCGCTGCGCGTATATGCCGCATGCAAAGCCCTCCAGCCCCGTGCTCTGGGCCGCTCAGGAGCCAGGAGCATTTCGCTTCCTCCCTAAACGTCTCAGCCGAACAGCTTGTACCGACCCTGGGAGCTTCAAGCGCTGGGACTGCGCCTCCAATGCCACCGCGTTGCACCGCCAGCCCCTGCGCCAAGAGGGTCGCAGACAGAAACCAAAGGCCGGTCGGTCCTTGCCGATCCTCCAGGGATCAAACTGGAGAAATCCATATTGAACTTTTTGGTCTTTAGCTGTTATTTTCTCATCATGCCCAAACGAGGCGAACGGACCGCTGTGTTGAGTTGGCGGGTCCTCTCTTGCTCCCCGAGACGGCCCAGCGCCGTGTCCTGCCGGCCGCCGGCGATGAGCGCCCTTCCCGCGCACCGGGAACAGCTTCTGCTTTACAAGCCCGGAAAAAAAAGCAGCGTCTGCGCCCTTGAAAGCCCTCAACGGCAACAGCAACTCCTTGGAAAGAGGCAGCTCCGAAGCAGTTCTCCATCAAAGCTTCAGCTGAACGAGGGTAACAGCGTTTCCCTCCTGGCAGAGCCCAGGACACAGCCCCCGGCATCCAACCCATCCTACCAAGGACCTGGGCCACCGCAGACGCCTTACGGTCCAGCATCGCGTCCTCCTGGCGCTCCCGTCCGCTCTCACCCTTCGTAAGGCAACTAGTGCTCGGTCCTGCTGTCGTCGGGTTTTCCTGGACAGAACGTCGA